ACACACACACACACACAGACTACTGAGTCCTTCCACACACACAGACTGCTGAGTCCATACATACACACAGACTGCTCAGTCCATCCACACACACACAGACTGTTGAGTCCATCCACACACACAGACTGCTGAGTTCACACACACAGAGACTGCTGAGTCCATACACACACAGACACACAGACTGCTGAGTCCATCCACACACACACAGACACACAGACTGCTGAATCCATACACAGACACACAGACTGCTGAGTCCATACACACACACAGAGACACACAGACTGCTGAGTCCATACACAGACACACAGACTGCTGAGTCCATCCACAGACACACAGACACAGAGACTGCTGAGTCCATACACACACAGACCGCTAAATCCATACACACATACAGACTGCTGAGTCCATCCACACACAGACTGCTGAGTCCATACACACACACACACTGCTGAGTCCATCCACACACACACACACTGCTGAGTCTATCCACACACACACAGACTGCTGAGTCCATACACACACACACAGACTGCTGAGTCCATACACACACACACACACAGACTGCTGAGTCCATACACACACACACAAACACGCAGGCTGCTGAGTCCACACACACACACAGACTGATGAGTCCACACACACTCACACACAGACTGCTGAGTCCATCCACACACACACAGACACACAGACTGCTGAGTCCATACACACACACAGACTGCTGAGTCCATCCACGCACACAGAAACACACAGACTGCTGAGTTCATACGCAGACACACATACTGCTGAGTCCATCCACAAACACACAGGCACACAGACACACACAGGCACACAGACTGCTGAGTCCATCCACACACAGACTGCTGAGTCCATACACACACACACACACTGCTGAGTCCATCCACACACACACACTACTGAGTCTATCCACACACACACAGACTGCTGAGTCCATCCACAGACACACAGACTGCTGAGTCCATACACACACACACACACACACACAGACCGGGCTGAGTCCATACACACACACACACACACAGACACACAGACTGCTGAGTCCATATACACACACACACAGACTGGGCTGAGTCCACACACACACACACACAGACACACAGACTGCTGAGTCCATATACACACACACAGACTGCTGAGTCCATACACACACAGACTGTTGAGTCCGTCCACACACACACACACTGCTGAGTCTATACACACACACAGACTGCTGAGTCAATCCACGCACACAGACAGACAGACTGCTGAGTCCACACAGACTGCTGAGTCCATACACACACACACACACACACACAGACTGCTGAGTCCACACACACACACAGACTGCTGAGTCCATCCACACACACACAGACTGCTGAGTCCATACACACACAGACTGCTGAGTCCATACCAGACACAGACTGCTGAGTCCATTCACACACACACAGACTGCTGAGTCCATACACACACACAGACTGCTGAGTCCATAAACACACACAAACACACACACACACAGACTGCTGAGTCCATCCACACACACAGAGACACACAGACTGCTGAGTCCATACACAGACACACAGACTGCTGAGTCCATCCACACACACACAGACACACAGACTGCTGAGTCCATACACACACACAGACCGCTGAGTCCATACACACATACAGACTGCTGACTCCATCCACACGCAGACTGCTGAGTCCATACACACACACACAGACTGCTGAGTCCATACACACACACACACACACACACACAGACTCTGGAGTCCATATACACACACACACACAGATTTCTAAGTCCATACACACACACACAGACTGGGCTGAGTCCATACACACACACACACACCTCACACACAGACCGCTGAGTCCATACACACACACAGACTGCTGAATCCATACACACACAGACCGCTGAGTCCACACACACACACACACACACACACACACACAGACTGCTGAGTCCATACACACACACACAGACTGCTGAGTCCATACATTAACACACGCACAGACTGCTGAGTCCATACACACACACAGACAGACTGCTGAGTCCATACACACACGCACAGACTGCTGAGTCCATACACACACACACAGACTGCTGAGTCTATACACACACAGACTGCTGAGTCCATACACACACACACACACTGCTGAGTCCATACACACACACACACACAGACTGCTGAGTCCATACACACACACACACACACACAAGCGTCCTCACCTGTCACTGGAGGTTGTTGCTGGGAGGTCAGGCAGTCATCTTCTGGCCTTTGCAACAGCAGCAAGGTCTGCTGCTAAACGGCAGGGGCGGGGCTTATGTGCAGGGACAGGGCTTCGTTTGGGGGCGGGCCTTGCAGCGGAAGCTGTCACTGCTCCCTCCGGCCACAGACAGCCTCCAGCGCTCCAGCCTCTCTGGCCAGACTGTCCTGCATTCCCTCGGGCTGTAACAGACTGTTACAGTCCGAGGGAACAGAATTCAAACACATGGCCAGCAAGTTCCAGCATGATGGAGGGGTGGCCATGGCCCCCTCTGCCCCCCCCCAGCAACCCCACTGATGAAGTGGCATTGAACTTACCATAAGGTCGTCAGCCATAGGAAGAACCTCTGGGTCCCTGAGACTGCCATGGTCTGCCCTGAACTGGGAAGAACGGTGAGGTAGGTTTGGAGTCAGGTGCTGTAAACCTGGACTGAATGGGGCCTCGATACCCCCGGTATGCACCCCCAGGGTGAGCGGCCGGGCAGACAGCCCCGCCAAAAACTCTCTGGTTGAACACTCATTTCATGCTGGATTGAGCCTTATCAAGTGCTGTAAAGGTGCCTACATACGTGCTGAGCTCTTTAACAAAGTTATCTCCAAACAGAAGGGCTTTTGCCTGGGGTCCAGGCTCTGAAATAGCTTAGGTTCTATTTTAATTAGGATTGCTTTGCGCCTTTCAGTGGCCACCGCCGTACTGGCGTTGCCCAGCAAACACATGGATCACTGGATCCACCCCCTGATGGCTTCTAAATCCACCGGTGTACCACCTGCTAGTCCGATTTCAACCATGTTGAACATTTTCGCAATTGGCCCCAGGACATCCAGGACCTTATCCTGGCAATTCCGCCAGGCAAAATCCAGGCCCTTCTTGGCCTTCCAACCTGATTTCCCCAAGAATTGCACGATCTTTAGGTCTACGTCAGGGATGGCGCATGCCATATCAGGAATTGTGGGGCGTGGGCATTCTGCCCGGAGTTTGTTTCGTGCCACTTTGTCAAGTGCGCGCAGCAATATATTTCGCTACATGTTCTAGGGGATACTACTCCGAGGATCTCGGGTGTTGTTAGTTGCCGGGATCAAATATTGGCTCGCCCTGAGGGTCAACTAGGGCAGCATCGTCAACTCCATCTTTGGAGTCTGTTCCCGCTACTGACAATGAGCCGTGCCCTGGAAAATAAATGGTGGAATCGTAAGAGTTCTCCTCATTGGACTCGCTCTGTGCCTCCTCTTGCTCCAATTCAGAATCGGAGGATTCAATCTAGGCTTTTGCCCTCTTCCAGTTCCGATTTTGCCCGGTGGGGGGCTCTTAGTTGTGGTGCAACCACAGGTTCTGTGACAGGTTGTACCCTGTCCGTCTGTATGATTTTGGAGGCATCCTCGTCCAGGTGGCGAGACTTTTTTGCAGCTTTATGCCCACTAGGGGCCACCGGTATACTCTCCGGGGGGGTAGTAGTGAGAGTAGGCGGTAATTGAGTGGGCCATAGCGCACTGGGGATTGATTGGGTGATATTATCTGACATGGCCCCCATAGCAGTATAAATGGCTTGAGTTACAGACTTTGCCATAGCAGCGTCTAGGAGGGAATGCAACTCTTCAGAGTTCATTTGCTCTAGTGACGCTTCAGCTAATATGGGTAATTTTAAACCTGCTGGGGGCGTCGGGGTTATGGTGGCACTAGTGGCAGGGTTGCAAATATCAAACTCTTTGCCGGATTGCATGTTAGATTTTAATGGTATAAGTTAGCGACAGGCTTAAAGGAGGGCCAAGGGACTGAGGGACAGGATGATTTATTTCTATTAACAGGGATACAGTGGGAATTTAAGGCTAGTAGGCACAGTAAATCTGAAAAATCAGCACAGTAGTAAAAGTAAAGCAAGTTTACCGAGTGTTCCCTCAGGAATAAATTCCTGGGGAGCACCGGTAACTTGCCCAGCAGCTGAGCTGTCAAAACTGTCAACCTTAAGATGGCCACCACAATGCGCACTCGCGATGTGCGCATGCGCGAGCGGCGGTAGCCACGGCCAAAGATGCAAACCACCGGGACCGCGGAAAACGGTACCCGGTGTGAGGAGGGAGCCTCAGGATGAGGTTCTCCTCTAGGCAGGAGGTAAACCTGGTCGGAAAATAATTAAACCGACCAGGTGACTGAGGGAAAAACAGGGATGGGGAGGGAGGGAGAGATTGGAGGAAAAACAATAGTAACAACAAATAATTTACCACAAAAAATGATAAGGAAATGCATAAATAAAGCAAACAAGGGGAAATAAAAGGAAAAAGTACCCAAAATATATAGACGTAAATGGATAATTCCCAAATATGAGAAAGAGAGAAAAAAATCGTACTTAGCTGAGGAGGTAGCAGCAAAAGAAAGAGGGGTGGCTTAAGATCACATGGGACGTTATTGTGCTAGGGACACTCTCATTTGGTTAATATGTAATATGTGGTTAACCCTTTGGGGTAAATCATGTTATTATTTAATTTTTTTCATTGAATATCTACAATATCTACATTAATATTCTTTCTTTTGCTTTTGAGGAATAAAGAAAGAGTTTAGCATAATAGGAGCCTCCGTGTCCTTTAATAAAATCAGCAATTCTGATGATGTCACCAAGGGGGCAGAGCGGGAAATAAGGTGAGTTTTCATTCATGGTAAGGGGAGGGCACGCTACCTAAATAGAGAGGGGGGTAGAGTCTGCGCTAAACCAAAAAAGCAGCAACCCTAAAATGGAATCCCTCAAGAAACCCTTTAAGAGACAGGAAAATACAAAAGAGGGGGTTAAGGGCTGCGCTAATAGATAATAAATAATAAATACATCAACAAATCATAGTAAAACCAGATATCATCAATAGACAAAGTTCGTCCAAAAATAAATTGAAACAGTCTCACTGATATGTGATGATAAGATAATAGTCCTCAGGTGTTGATCCGTCCGTATGGTGGCAGATAGTCCATATATGTGGAAATAAAAAACAAAAAGAGAGCTTCCAATGGTGAAATATTGTACGTCCAAATGTGATGTATAAATCAAGAGAAAGGTGTTTCACTCACATTTGTTGGAGCTTGAACCAGCTCTAGGAGAAGAGGCACTTAGTGGTTTGATCACCACTATCGGATACACTTGAATGGTGGGTCCGTCTGTCTGGCTTAGGATTTCCTTGGTGTAGGCTGGGACCTACTCAGATGTACGTAGTTCTTTGGTGCTGGGGAGATAGGTCCGCCTCTCCAATTTTGGATAATGGGTATCCACGAAATATATAAAACAGCAGATAGTGCTCTCAGTTTGAACAATAAAACAATTTTATAAAATAAGTTATACTTACAAGAATAGAGCAGACAGATACTGCTCTATTACCACAGCGCTGGTGGAATTATCCCCACCTAAGGATTTCTTTGGACGGGATACACTTGAGGATTAAAATTAAAAAATTATATTTTGTATAAATTAAAAGGATAAAAAATAAAAAATATAAAAAATAAAATAAAAAACTTTAAAAATAATAGGATATATGAGAGTGCCAGGAGTAGTTAAAGTGTATAAAATGCAATAAAAATAAATATAAAATTGGTCCTAGTATAAAAGGTAACCAAAAATAACTTTTATTGATTTAAAATACACTTATTTATGCCCACTAGGGGCCACCGTTCGGTTTTAATTCTTGAATATGATTGGTGCACTAAAATTTGGCGCCAAATTCAATCTCTGTATGTACTTATAAATTGAAGATTATGCTAGCTTTAGTGTACTAATAATCTTAATTTTAATAAGGACAGGAGGCGAGTATTTTGCATTAACTCTCTTTACTAAACTCCACAGCAGTAAAGAAAACGTAAAGAGTAACAAATAAATCACTGAGCAGCATAGTATATAAGGGTCATGCTGCCTGTACACTTCCTCTTTCTTAAAGCGACATCCAAGTCCAGATAGAGCTCGAACATCCAGAAACTCAATGAAACGGTAACTGCGGTCTCTGGCGAGCGGAACTTAAGGAGACTCCTGGTAACGAGATAGGAGGAGAGACCAAACGAAGCCGTCATCCCATCTTACGGAGTCGTGAGGTTAACGAACCAGCGACCAGTGGAAGTCCTGAAGAGGGTTACACTGAAAGGAGAGTATAAAATCGGTTAGGTACTGAACCGTAACTGTTCACGCCTGTGGGCTTTAACAGAATGGTGTAAATTAAACAGTACAGACAGATTGTAAGCTGGCCATAGGTTAAATATGTGTAGGTGTAAGCATGTTGTACAACTAAACTGTCCGTCTAGGTGGAAACACTGGGAATAGAGATGGAAGGGATACCGAATATGTCCAGGAGATAGTGGAACCACTAATATGAATCCCAAAATCCATCACCTTAAGATCCACTCCCCCGAGGAGTCAGGGTAGGGAACAAAAGGGAGGGAAAATACTCGCCTCCTGTCCTTATTAAAATTAAGATTATTAGTACCCTAAAGCTAGCATAATCTTCAATTTTATAACATGACAGGAGGCTTCCTATTTTGCAATTTTAACGCTGAAGAAGTGACATCCCAGCAGAAGGGGGAGTGCAAAAATAAAATGTACGGAAAGTGGATTCCCTAGACCAGTCCGCCGTTCTGAGAATATCCGAGAGGGACGCCCCTGCCAGGAAGGCTGATGAAGCCGCCGCACCGCGAACGGAGTGGGCGCCGAAGGCGGGGTCTATACCTGCGAGGGAAAGGATCCAGCGGATCCATCGGGCCAAGGTGGTGACCGAGACTGGGGCGTGAGGGCGCACGTAGGAGACTAAGAGTTGGCCCGACGTAGAGGACCGGAGCGAGGAGGTAACCGAAACATACCTGCGGAGGGTGGACACGACGCAAAGCTGCGGGTCGTCGGGAAAAAATGGGTAAAAGACCGAGGTCGAACCCGACTTAGTGCGACGGGAAATGTGAAACGTGACCCCTTCAGGGGCCACTTCGAAAGCGTCCACGTCGAAGGCCCGAACGTCCGAAACCCGTCGGAAAGATACGAGACAGAGGAGGAAAGCGCACTTAGCGGATAGTTGGCGTAGGGAGAGGCGGTCATTCGGAAGCCAATCCCTGAAGAAGCGGAGAACCAGTCCCACATCACATAGGTGAGGGTATCTGGGGGCCGGGGGACGGCGGAGCCGCATACCGCGGAGTAGACGGCAGACCAGAGGGTCTTTGCCGACCGGGAGATCCCCGACGGGGGTGTGAGCCGCCGAAATCGCGGAGCGCACGACGTTGACCGAACGGTAAGAGCGGCCAGATGAAAACAAGGAGGAGAGAAAATTAAGAATCATGGGAATAGGTGCTGTAAAGGGATCGGAGTCCCGTTCCATGCACCAAGTAGACCAGGAGGTCCAAGCTGAAAGGTAACAGCGTCTAGTTCCCGGGGCCCATGAGTCCCATAAGAGGTCCCTAGCAGCCTGCGATAGTCCGCTGACTCGCCAGGAACCCCGGAAAGAGACCAAGCCACCAGGGGTAGCCGGTCTTCCAGGAGTAGTGGGTGGAGATGCCCTTTGGGATCCGTGAGTAGGTCCGGGAAGGATGGTAGGAGAAGAGGGTCCCTGTAGGAGGAGGCCAGGAGGTCCGGGAACCATGGTTGGCTCTGCCACAAGGGCGCTATGACAACCAGTTTGATCTGTTGCGTCCGTATCTGGTGTAGTGTTCTCGCAATCATGGAGAATGGGGGAAAAGCGTAGGCTCCTGTCGACGGCCATTGTTGGAGAAATGCGTCTGTCGCCTTGCTCTCCGGGAGCCAGCTGAAGAACTCCGGGGTCTGGTGATTGTTGCGAGAGGCAAACAGATCCAGGTGAAAGGGACCCCTCCGGGCTGCAAGGGCCCTGAAGATTCTCGTGTTTAGCTTCCAGTCGCTGACGTCTCTCCAGTGGCGAGAGAACCAGTCGGCTGTGAGATTGATTTCTCCTGGCAAGTATTCTGCCTGTAGCGTGATGTTGCGAGGGAGGCAATAGTCGAAAATGCCTTTCGTGATATCCGACAGCAGGCGAGAGCGAGCGCCTCCCAGGCGGTTGATGTACTGGACTGCGGATACATTGTCCATGCGCAGGAGGATGCAGCAGTTGGATCTTTCCCGGGCCAAGCTGCGAATCGCGAAGGATCCTGCCAGGAGTTCGAGGCAATTGATGTGCATGGAGAGCTCCTGCGCCGTCCATGTTCCCCCCGTGGAGATGGTTCCGTTGGTGGCACCCCATCCCCACAGGCTGGCGTCTGATTCCAGTACGAAGTCTGGAGCGTCTCCGAATATGGCCCTGCCGTTCCAGGCTTGCATACTGTCCAGCCACCACGATAGTTCCTCGCGAACCTCCATCGTCACCGGGACGGGTTGGTCGTAAGTAGGCTTGCGGCGTAGGTATTTCGCCTTGAGACGTTGCATGGCCCTGTAGTGGAGGGGACCCGGAAATATGGCCTGAATGGAGGCAGAGAGGAGTCCTACAATCCTGGCCAGATTGCGTAGTGGAATGGAGTCGAGACGAAGAACCCTGCGAATCTCCTTGCGAATGGCTGTGATCTTTGAGGCTGGTAGCCTCAGAGTGCAAGTTGTCGAGTCGATCTCGAAGCCGAGGAATTGTATCGTCTGGGTAGGGGTCAGCTCCGATTTCTGTTGGTTTACCACGAAACCCAAAGACTCCAGTAGGGACACTGCCAGGTGAGTGTGTTGGCGTAGTCTGTGTTCGTCGGCGCAGAAGATGAGGAGATCGTCTAAGTAGATGATGC